ATATATATATATATATATATATATATATATATATGCATGCTGGGAGCCGTCTAGACTTCTATGGCAAAGTCTTCAGAAGCATGGAAGTACTTTGTTCAATAGAACGTCTTTGAAATTTTAGAGAAATGGTGTATTATCGACTATTTTCTGGGTGAGTAATTCACGCTTTTGTTATATCTTTCAGCATGTTTCCAGAAGCTTTGAGAATAGGATAATCCCATATAAACCCAAAATTATCCCTGTTATTTGTGCCTAAACTAACGTCGAAAGTAAAACTTCTATTCATAATGTTCTGCTTTTGTCTTCTGTTCAGGGAATAGATGTAAGAGGTTTCCAAGGGACTAGGGAGTAGCTAGAAAGTACCTGACCGTTGTTCAAGCACTGGATATAGTATTCATGAAGACATGTTAATTAAATAACACATTTTAAAAAATAATCATTCGATGGACTACATCAGTCCCATCCATATTTATAATTTTTTAGAGATATTTTAGTGAATAATCGTGAGTATGATTTTCACAAAACTTTTCTTTTCTCAGTAAAATATAATCTTTCTGTGTATACAAGTGAGAATAGCATATTAATATTCAATAAAAATCAGTATATTTATTATTGTTTCATCGGAATTTACTCACTTTATGTGTAAGTAATTTAATGCTTTGACCATTCGTAAATTTGAAAAATAATGAGTGTAAATGTACTCTTCATTTACATGATGAGATATAGTTATATTTCAAAGCGTGATGGGACGATTATATTTTTTAGATAAATTATAGAGAACGTTCGTCCAATTGCATAATGTAACTTAAAATTAACCTTTAGAAGTATGTGTTAAATATATGCAATCACCGTTGAAAACATTAATGGCGATTAATGGTGCCTTTTAGTTCTACAAAATCACTGATCTGACATAACACTTCCTGTAATCAAAAAGTAAAGTACCCGGTAATTACTGTTAAAAAATATGCATACTCATGCGTTAACGTATTCTTCACAGAAAAAAAGACAGGATTGAAGAGTATATGAATAGGCTTTTTCATGCATTCAGTCAGTCAGCTACAATGTAGGACCAGGCACATATATGCATCTGTCCAAGTTGCCACACCTCATTAGCACGACAAGATTATCACTTAATTCATTAAAGTAGTTACTCCAATGGTAGTAATATATAACAGATTGAATAAAAGGATATAACACAGGAAGAAAGAATTAGTTGGTAGAAAGAAACGTATAAAGCAATTTTAATTTCACGGTTTAAAGGAAGACGAAGATTGTATACACCGACGCCATTGTGACCGATTCTGAGCCATGTCACCCAGAGTCTCCAACCATTGGTTGTGATAGTCGCGTTGACCCTAATCAAATAGTCTGCATCTACCAACATGGCTAAGACTAGAAGTTGGTGACTTCATGGACTGATGTCACGTTTTGGTTTGACCGCCCCTAACTTTCTTTGTAACTGACAAATGCACAGATATTTTGAAGGTGGAGGTTTGCCAACATGTCACATTTTATCTGAAAAGCAAATGACAATACTAATCATTGTCATCATTATAAAAAGTTTGGAATAATGTTCCCTTATTATTGGAATTATTTATTACTATTATTTTCACTATTTTATTTCATTATATATTTTGAATAATTAATAACACTTGATTGTTATTTCAGCTTAAGGAATTAAAGAGTGAATGACAAGAATTTAAGGTGGAGTAGTTTTGAGTTTCTTCTTTGGTTTGATGAACATTTCTGGTTTATTTTTTCCAACTGTTTAGATAGTCGGTGAAACCAAAGTGTAATTTACCTCTTCGTTTATTCTGATCTATAACTACACAAGTTATATATTATTGACTCATTCCCTTTCTAAAAATTTATTTATGTTTATCATTGTCCTGCTCTCTTCTTTGAAGCATTCTTAGTTGGACATTCATCTTTATCAATCCTCATAATCGTGCAAAAAGTGTTTACTGTTAGTTTTGTGAGTGTATAATATTTTTTGTTGACTACAGCTCATCACCGGGAAACGAAATTTTCTTAATAGTTTCGTACAAGATGTTTACACTTTAGTAATTACATATTTTAATTCAGATTTTAAGTAACTTTGAAATGGGATGCCATAATGTTTAGTATAACTAATGACTTGTACACCATGAGAATGTACAGATAACTTTTCATGATACGTATGAAAGCATTATCTTTTAAAACAAAAACACTAGCATGAAAAACATACATAGTAAAAAACATCAGTATAACTAACTTGCTTTGTTTAACAACTCAATCAAAATTGTAACTTGTTTACAATTTAAAAAGGAAAAAACAAATCATCTTATTTATTATAAAATCACTATCACAACTTTATTTATCAATCAATCAAGTTAAAAATGGGATTTGAAACATAGGGAGCAAATGTTAATTATCTATCACATTTAAAATAGAAAATAATAATAATAACTTCAGAATAAATTTTCAAAATGACTATATCAGTACACAGTTTGATGGATTACTTATTCAAAATTTCCTTGGTTATTTCAGTCTCATTAGTTCATTTTTTTGTGTGTATGTGTTTTAGTGGGTAAGTTTGCTATGTGATAATTTTTTCATCGTTTTTGCAGCTGTCGAAGTGTGTGATAACTGAAGATAGAAGAACTATTAAGTACTTAACCTTGCATTTGTTTCCATATGATGATCAAAATATTACTTTGATATGGTAAGAAATCCAATGGAATGGTTTTAAGTAACAACGTATTATCTCTTATTATAACAAATAGATTGTAGCTAGCTATGGAATTCAGGATTCGCGTTTTGGGACATTTATGATTCATCAGCTGAATGTATGAGTGTATATAAAGGTAATCTACAGAGGATGCACATATAACAACAAAGACTGGTCGAAATTCGATTCTAAACACCAACATCAGAATAATTTATTATTTTCTATTATTCATTTCTTATTATACAATATTAGTTCGTTTTGTATACACTAATATTCCATTCTTATTTGATACTCATTTTTCTATACTTTATTGACTTTATATAGTACCGTCATATTTAAGATGCTTGACAGCTGGGAAATGACATACGGTTATTTTTCATTTTTTATTACATCTAGATAGTCGATCCGACTGCCCCCTTTACGTATATCTAGTTTTGTAGTTCAAGACCTTTTCAACACAAATCGAAATAATCCAAGGAATTACTGATAGTCAGAGAGTCCTAGTTTTCCATTTCATCCTAATTTCATGTAACATCTACAGGTTCCGCAGGTAACACACTGAACCATAATCCAAGTAAGGTATAACGGTGACCACCATCCACTGTCATTGGTCTGCAACTACTTCATTGATGATTTGGTTCATTCTTAAAGTTGAAATGCGGATCATAGTCAGTTGCTAGGATGAAGTTACTTATTTTAAAGTTTGATGACGCTTGACGATGTCAGACAACCTAATGTTGCTTTTTTACCACACTTTTTCATTTTCGGCGGTTTGAAATTCTCATAGAATATTCAGAAACAAAAAATATTTGTTTTCCATAACTTCGTCATCAGACTGTTGTTATGAATCCATAACTGTTGTGTTACAAAGGCCAAATTAAGTCATTCCACTGAATTAGACAATATTGTGTGCTAAGAAGTAGTAAACCTTTGCATCTGTTACGTCGTAGATACTTCAGAATTGTGTCATCTGTGCATTAGAAACATTTTCGAAGGTTGTAAGGTGTCAAGTTATAACCATTATTATAATAAAGTAAATCCTGTTAATAAAATGCATAGTAGGATAATTTTGTCTACTTGATGGATATACTGGTGATAATAACACCGTGTGAGTATAATCTTTCATAAGATAGATGTTATGATTAAGAAATTCACATGGATTGGGAAAGACGAGTGTTTAATATAAAAACGGAGCAGGGGATATATAAACGGAAATCGGGGAGGGGTTGAGGTGATTTACAATGTCCAATTTACATATATCGTAATTCAATCCTGGATCAAGGTAATTACAAAGGTTGAATATATTTCTTTTGAATACCTAAGTTAGGTTTTCTAAAGTTGATTCTGATGGCTTCAGTTATGTGGAGTGGTCATATATATATATATATTCATTCAGTTGGTCATTTTCTTCATTAATTTACCTTTCAATAGTCTAATTTCAATTGTTGTTGGTTTAAAATTAACATTTTGAATTTTCTTTTGTTGGAAATGATCTTCGTTTACGTTGTTAAAAAAATTATTGATCTTTCTGTATCGAAGTTAATTTGAGTTAGGGTTTTCTGCTTTTTATGGATAACAACAAGTTTCTTTAAATGGAGTATTTAATTTTGTTTTCGCAAACTCTATTAATTTAGAGATTTCCAAAGAATAAAACAAGGTCGATCCACTACAGTTATTCTTTTCTCCTTTGATTTTTCTCATCAAAGTGAAATTATTCGAAGATTGTTAAACTGCAATCGAGAATTTAAAATATTTTAATAGTCCATTTCTGTGTTCGAAACGCTCAGGTCTTCAAACACACTGTACCATTTTGAGTTATAGTTTATTTTAGTTAGAAGATTTGTTAAAACGTTTAGTCTGCAGGTATTATGAATGAAGCTAATCAAGTTAGTAGTGAAAATAAACTTAATTTTGGTATATATCAAAACTAAAAAAAGTGATTAAGTTCATGGTAATGGTAGTCGTTAGAATCAGATTTATTGAAAGACACCATCTGTCTCTACAGTGAGATATTTTTTAAAACACTTTAGATGTGCAAACTTTATTGATGGTTATGAGTTTCATGAGAATAATGGGTCAATTTTTTCGAGATACTATGAAGTCGAATGAAATATCCAGGTAATCTTCGTAGTCCTTTTAACCCTTTATTCAAACGGTATTGATTGAGAATAATTATGTACCACTTTTTAAAAAGAATTTTGATGTTTTGTGAATTCTGTTAACTATGAAGTAAACTATGTTTATTCACTCATATAAATTTATTTTACTGATCATGCTTTTTTCAAAATAGGAAATTCGGCCCAGAGGCACTACAAAACGAACTTTTAAAGGAAATACTTTTTATATCTAATCGTAACCTAGGAAGAGATGACCGGTAAGTCTGTTTTTATTGTTAGTCGAGTATCTGTTATGTTGTGTTTTCTTATTGTTGGGTTTTTTAGTTCACTGTTATTGTTTGATTGACTTATTAATTTCGAAAAGTACGTGAAACCTACTAAAATCTGGTAAACATTTATGTATTCGTTTGGTTTTTTAAAGAAAGAACATTCGTTTATCGATTTGAAAAGTCTTAAGATAAAACGAATGATCTAATTGTCCTCAAATTATTCTACTCGCTTTTTTTTTTATAAATGTTGAAGGCTTAAATATCTATATTTTCTTACATAAAGTAAATTCAATCGTCAAATTTTCAGGGATTATTAATCCTTTTTGTGCAATTTAGCTTTATTAATTAGAGTTTATGAAATTGAATCTTCGGGATTTGTTCAAATACTAAATTTGTCTATTAATAGTGTAAAAATTATAGAGATGAATACATTAACAACTTCACTACTGCATCGGTTTTTGAGGCTTTAAGGTTTTATTTGTTGATGTATGTACGTGAACTGCCGAATACTTCGAGTTGCCACCCTGTGTAACTCAATAGTAGGTTCACAAAAGTCTAAGGATAGATAGATAAGATCAGTCTTTACATTCACTAATACTGGTTCCACGAACTAGCTATAGAGTTGTTTTGTTCTTTACAATACCCAACTTTGATTGATCCATATGTCTTACGTAACTTAACAAAAACATTATCCGAATTTTATGTTTTTGTACGATAGATATTATGTTTTAATGTTGGGAATAGTCCGTAATGGCATTATATATGTTTTCATGAAATATTAGCAAGTATTCAAACGGGATATATTGTGTTCTAATAATACTGAACAGCTCATTTTAGCACTAAATATGATACTCTTGTTTTCATGTATCACATTTCAAGGGAAGAATCTAACCGAATATTGTTTAATTTTTGTTGCCATTTGATTATGATCAAATTAGATAAGTGATTGTGAACAACCAGTAGCAAGATCTTTACTATCATTTCTCGCTAATTAGCTCATCTGTAAGCCGAATGTGTCTAACAGGCTAACATCAATTGAAGAGCACCACTCTTCAATCAGCAATAAAAACTGAGTAACATTGCTCTGGTGCCTACTCAATATGCGATTTTGATTTAAAGCAACCATTACATCTACCCGATATCATGTTAGAATAAGTGAGTGCCAAACTTAGTATCTGTTGCAATCATTTACTGGAAAGTGGTAGATGATTGCTCATATCCAACTCTTTTCGTGTATTCTTTGCTTTGTGTGCCTTTATGTGTTAATAATACTAATCTTAGTACATGAGGTTATAAAGATGTTGATCAGCGGTTTTACTATATGATTTCAGTTAACATTTTTCACTAAATAATCGTTCCCACATTTGTAATCGTAAAAATTTGGTCAGTAAACAATCTCTGTGTGTGTGTGAGAGAGAGAGAGAGAAAGTCAAAGTGAAACAAATATATTATTTCTTCAGAAGTTTTTGACACCCTTTAATTATATTAATTTTTTTTTCGTATATACACACCCAAACATAAATATATGTTCGTCTTGTTTTCTGGAAAAAGTGAACATTATGAAATCTAATATATTGACTAGTATTACGTTTCCTGTCCTCATATAATTTGATTTTGAAGATTCTTTATGATATCGCTTTGAGTTTTATCATAAATTATGCTTTCTATCATACACTATTATTATCTATTAATTTCACGAAACATAATAATATATTTGTAAAGTCCCAATGAGTAGGAAATTAGATTTCTGGTGCTTCGTAACTTGGTTTAAACCGCTTCATCAGCAAAGTAAAATTAACATCAAATTAAATTCACACAAATTTAAGTAGTACAAAGGACACAAAGCAGAATATTTTTAGCATAGTAAAAATTAAAATAGGTCTGATCATGTTAATATTGTTGTGACATTTCGGTCATAGTTATTTTTACTGTGTGAGACATGGCTGTTTGTAATTGTGCGTATGTTGGTAGGTATAAGAATTGTGATATTTGTGATATGGAAGTGTTCGGTTAGGAGCATTGATATGTTTTCTGATATTGTGAGATGTGGACAGGACTAATTGTGTAGATATTTTAATAAATAGATCCTTAGGCCTTTCTTTCTGTTAAGCGCAGTGGTGTTTGGGGAAATATGAAAGAACTCATTCTGTCGCCTTTCTTTATAAGCGGAAAATCTTTTTAGGATTATTTCGATACTATTAGTATCTATTTGATCGTTGTACTGGTATTATCATTTTGATTTGCAAACTTTCTATTAATGCAGGATTATTTGGAGGTCTTTTTGTGTAGTTCAGACGTTCTTTGGCACAAGTCATAACTTCACAAGTAGACTCTTCAATATAGAATGAATCACAGTCTGCACTTCCCAGTCTGTAGGCACACTTCTATATCGAAGTATTAGGGATTTCATCGTTTATTTCGAAGAGGGTTCGTTATTTTGTTGAATACTTTAATCCTGTGCGATACAAGTATTCATTTGTTGTTCTACTATTGTGATATGAGAGATGTTTAATTGTTTTTGTCTTTACGAATAAACTTCAATGTTAATCATTATAGTAAGAATAAGACATTTTACTCATAAGGAAAACTCGATTAACGCATTTGGAATAATTGAAATTACTTCTATTTATTGAATACGGTGAGAAAACCACATATAGAAATGTAACGAGATAGAGGATTAAATGAATTAAATGTTTTTATGAAAGTTTTAATTGCTTTTCCTTTTTCTACCACTAAGAGAATTATGGAAATTCCATTATTTTTCATAAAAACCCACTAAATTCCCTCGATCGATAACTGAATAGAACTTTCCTCAGTGACAGATGTTAACCAGCTTTTTTATTGTCAACTGAATAAATATTTTAGTAAATTCCGATGTTTCAGCTCGATTGGAACTCATCATGAGAATCAGTTATATTATGGGTTACAATGTAACATTAGCATCAGCAGGAAACCCTACTAATGGGCTTAAGCCCCATTATATCTCTTAAATTTCACCGCTGTCACTTAGACTAGTAATGACAGTAGCATTTAAACTAATCAACAGAATATTATCTACTATGAAACCATGTAAATATGATTCGGACTTTTTATTCGCTGTCTTAACTGTGATTTACATTCCTTTATCCAGTTTTTTTCTTTATCATGCCCATTATCATTATAGTTTCTCTTTAGTTCGATTTCGCTTTTTGATTTCTAATTTCTGATCATGATTCATAGAGAGATGAAATCGAGTTGCGCAGATATCTTTGCCGTTTTGAATATATTGCTTTTTGTTAGGCTATGCTCATTTACCTACGCCTGTTACCCCTTGTTGAGGAGCATAGGCTGCCCGCCATCATTGTCCATCGAACTATGTCGTAGACAATCCTTCCCAGTCGTTTCCATCTGCTGTTCATCCTTTTGATGTCTGCTTTCAACTCTAGATTATACGTTTTTCCATAAATATCAATCATAAAGTTTACTGAATTCAGTTCAAATTATTTTTATTTGAAATATACACTTTACTATCTATACAATTCATTCTTATCAATAACACTGTCGTAAAACGGAATCTTTTATTTTGTATTCAAGTAATCGAAATCCGTCTCATTTTATTTTTGAATGATTCAGTTCCAATACTTGGTTATTCACGTCAGAGTTGATTGAAGGGAGTTATAAACCGGTTCTGTTATTATTTTGTATGAGATAAACTTATACTCTATGAATGACGATATTTCTTTAGATTGTAATTTGAACGTTGTATGTAAAAATATAAATTATTATTCAGTATTTTGGTCGTATTCCAATATGTCTGAGTAAGAATAGTAGTACAATACAGCAGTCACCTATCACTGACTTCGTTGTATGACAGATTTTAAATAATTTGTACACTGAATCGTTAGTCTTGATGACTGTAAACTCAGTAGATTTGAGTATCAGATTAACGATAACTAGTCTGTTATCCGTGCCATAAAATTACACCATATCGTTGTATAATGTGAGCTACGCATTTTTTTATTAGTTCACCTTGTTTCTGTTTGTAGTTTCCTTTGGATTTACCATTTAATGAATATATAAATTGATCAAAGGATTTTGCGGTTTAGTTTTTAGATTTTTTTCTGTCCTACAAAAATGAATATTTTTTCATATTTTAAAAGTCATTCTATGTAGAATCCCAAGGAACTGTATTGAGTTACACTAACATGATTTATACCACAATGATATTGAATTTTTTATTCTTTAAAAATGCACTACAAAAATGCAGTCATCAGGTTAATGTATATTTTGTGTGCTGAATTAGATGGTCTATAATGCACGTATGTGTATGGAGTTTAAAATGTGGTTGACATTAACGCATTTTAACTATTTATATTCTATGTAATGAGTTGTGATAAAAACCCAAATGAATTTTATCTGTTTTCATTTAGATAACATTGATGACATAACGAAATAAAGTGTACAGTCGAAGGAAATCGATATACAACATTTACATGTTTAGACTTTTGACTATTACTCGTTTTAAACTGGAAAGAGTAATCATTTTTATAACTTTGATTTTATTTTTTAGGATTTTTTCAAACTGATGATTTCCTTTCAAACAAGTTGACATTTTTCTTCTGTCATAATGGCATATTTCCCTTTTTTCTTTATTTATATTACTAGACTAACGTAGAGTGTACGTGGCGATCATACTAAGATTTGTGTGTACTAGATTTCTAAAATATCTGAATTTTATTAGATCAGCGCTATCAGTAAAATATTGTACTCACCTTCCATCACTCTTTACACTAAAATGTCCCTGGTTCAACCTCATGAGGAATTGTGGATGTCCTTGCGTGTGAACAGTTTCAAACTTAGGTGTGATAACTATTCAGTGTTGATGGAATTCACAATGTAAATCTTCATTCATGTTACGTGATATTTTCCTGATAGATTCAACTATGTCCCATTAAATTTCGTTATTTGTACTCAGGTATGACACTGATCGACAAGTATGGTTTCCTAAG